TTATTATTGATTTGTCAAAATTCACACAAAAGTTTGCCATGAAAGTGAAAAAAAGGGAGGGAATTGAATTGTAAAACAAAAAGGCATCACCGCCACTACATCAAAGATTTTGCTGAAACTTGTAAGATCAAAATTGATTTTACTTTTTAATAAAACACATTTTTTTCTTCCAGGTCCGCGAGATTGCGAAACAAAGCAAATTTGTCTCAAATTATTTTTATCGAAATCAACAAAAAAAGGCATTATTGGGTTGCTGAGATTTAATTTAGATTTTTTTTTAATTATTTCTTAAATTTCATTTCGCCTTATTTGTAAATATTTTAGTTTTATTTCATTCAATATAACCCCCCTGAAAAATTTCACATCCATTTATTTATTGTGACTAAAGACCAAAATTACTCAACTCCAAAAACGTAAAGGATGGTGAGCATGTAAAGAAGATTTAAATCATGTATTTTTGAAAAATTAAATCTATGAATTTTTCGCTCAAAATAATTATTATAATTGTCTCTCCCTTTGACTTTTAATTAGCAACAGCCTGGCAACAGCTCTATTCTCTATTCGGCTTCCATTAAAATAAAGATCAACTTGAATGTTCTTTAGTTTTAATGATATATGATTTAAATTTTTTCTGTTCTAATTCGCGTAAGGAATGATTAATTAAATCCCTGAAGTGTTACAATAAACGTTTTTTTCTTTAAAAATTCGTTAATAAATTTGCCCTTGAAATTTGAAACCTGATTCTCGCCAAATTTATGTCTGACTCGTCGACTTTGCTAATCCCGCGTCCATTTCATGTTTATTATTCCTATTTGCGGTATGATGCATGTACTTTGGAGGGCCGAAAATAAACGGCGCGGCGAAATTGCCTTTGCGATTGTATCGCTTTGCACGAAGCAAGAGTCGAAAGTGAAAATGATTTATTATTTATCAGCGCCTTCACAGCCCTGCCGTCCGTGCGTCCGGCCGGCGCGAATTTTATTAGGCCCGCAGCATCTTTTAAAGAGGATAATGCGAATGGTTATTGTACTGAGAGGAGGCGTCGGTCTGTCCGTCCGTCTCGACCCCTTCGTTAATCCGCCGCGGCCACAAAAAAGCAGCGCAGCGTTAGAAAGAAGATCTGTCTGTCTGCTTGGACAGGTTGGTTTTTGCAGGTGCGCGAGGAGAAAAAAAACAACGCATTATTATTGATGAGCCATCAGCCCAGCGCTGAAATAACAACAATAATATGGGGCCGAATTCATATTTAATGGCGATGGTGGAAAATGTGGTGTGTAAATTGTAATTGACTCGGGCCTCTTTATCTTTTAATGGCTCCTTCATCTTCATTACTTTACTCCGAGCTGTCAAAATTGCGCGACTTTGCCTTTGCATGTCACCAGAAAAGCCAAAGCATGAATGGAATTGAGCTTTTTATAAACTTCAACTTATGAAAATAGTATACACTTTTGGCAAACAATTTGCAAAAAAATATAATTATAGAAAAAAATCAAACTTGACGGCCTTTGCAGCTAATATTGTTTTTATATTTTTCTTTTTTTTTTTGTTAATGACAGAACGGAAATAATTAATTTTGCCACTTTTTCATTCAATATTAGTTTGAACCTTTGCGAAAAATTCAGATTAAATTACATCAAAATATTGCAATCTTGCTATTTTGACACAAAAATATGTGAATATTGTTTAGAGTTTAAATATTTTTCCTTTTTAGAAATTGGCAATTTAAAAATAATTTGATTTAGAGGTAAAATACTAAGCTGATTTTCAGGAACTTTGAAATCAAATATAAAAAAATTCTCATAAAGTACTGTAATTTGGGCAAGAAGTTGATTAGATTAAAGCGGATTAAAGATAATAAAACCTAAAAATGGAACATTTTAGTTTCATGTTTTTGACATTTCGATTGCTTTTGAAAAAAAATCATTCAACTCTCAAGTGAAGCTACTGATTTTATTTTTTAATCGAATCGGGCGAGTGCGAGTCAACAATAAAATGACGGTTTACCAGAAAATGGTTGTAGGAGACAAGTTACCGCAGACACACCTTACAAACGAGGAGGACAGAAGCTACAAGCCCCTCCTTTTTTTGTAAAATTCATTTAGACACAAGTTACAAGCGCGAAACTTTGAATAAGCAAAGCAAAATTGATCAGTTTTATGATAAATTTTGAATTTAATGAAGTTTAAAAGCAATTTTAATAACTTCTTGCTGATTTTATTTAAAAATTCACTTTTCAATAATTATTTGAGTTGTTTACTTCATTCATTTTCAATCCTAATAATCTCATAATTTTATAGTTGTCTTTAATATTTTCATTTGAAACAATAATCTGTTTTGAATTAACATCCATCTGTAATTATATATTAAATTTTCCTTATGAAGCCGCTAGAGAGTAAATTTTACGCAGTACTACTATTTAAAAATTTAGAGCTCGCTGCAGTGGATGCTGGAGTCTTTTTGATCTCGGAAATTTAAGCAAAATCCTTGCTAGTGATGGTGCCGTTTTGTCCAAGAATTAAGTTTTTTTTTCAGATAAATTGTTTTTAACAATTGAATGTAAACAATGTGATGCTGTAACAATTAAACATTAAAATTAATAAAATCTCCTGCTAACAATAAGAAGCGTAAAAATTGAACAAGAGACAAAGAAATTAAACTAACTGATGGCAAAATTGGTAATTTTTAATTTTAGCTAAGTGAAAAGTGTAAATTCTGTCTTAGGTCCTAGCTGATCAATTGTTGGCATTAACACGGTAATTTCTGTAATTCTTTTTAAATTAATGCGTTGAGCTTCATGTTGGCAAAGTTTTAGTTTGATTTAGAAAATAAATCATTTTTTTAAAATAAAAAGTTTCCCAAGTTTGAGGCTTTCATTGAGTTACTAATACATGAATTACAACTATTTTTTTGCTAATATACTCTCAGTATTGCTTAGGATTGACTTATACAGATTTAAAATTTCCGCGTGTAACTTGTGTCCCAATATATGCTGAGAAAAATGTGTCACGTGACGTGTATCACGTGATCTGTATAGCACCGGCTTGTAGCTTGTGTCGCTTTGTCAGGTAAGTTGTGTCTGCGGTAACTTGTTGCCGCATCCCCCAGAAAATATAGCTCAAGCACGAAAATATTGATTGATCTATTTGAAAAACTATTTTATAGCAATTTACAAATAAAGGAGTGAATCAATTCACAATAATTCAATTGAAAATTGTAGATTGCACAAAAAGCCGACTTTGGCAATCGAAATCATGTTTTGTTGTTGGCGTCAGAGAGGAGCCCACGTTAAGATTTTTGTTCTTCGGCTCGCTAGCCAGCCCATCCGTCTCTGGGCAATAACAAGGAGAAGAAGAAGATGCTATCAGCAGCAGCACCGGCCATGTATTTCCAACAAAAGAGGCGTGTCGTATTCTTGGCAACGCTGATGATGCTCAAGAAAAATAATAATAAGCAGCAGCAGCACCATAATCACTATTGGGGGAAAATATATGTACCTGACTGACACGCTCAGGGAAAAAAATAATAAAAACTTTTGCTTCTCTCCCACTCGGCGAGAGTGATCTGGTCACCTGACAGAAATAAATAAATAATTTTGCCCCCCGTCAGGGTCAGGGAGGATTTCCAGCGACAGGTGAGCCAAAATCTGGCTCTCATTATCAACTTTATATATACGCGCAGCTTGTTAGTCCGCCTCGCTGCCTTGTTTATAATTCCTCTGCGGCCTCCTTGCTTGAATTACGCCAATTATCGCGAACAGCGTCCAAATCGTGTTTAGCAGCAAGAATAATTTATTTTTTGTTCAGAATTAGAAAAAAAATATATATATATATATAAATGGGCTGCAACGTTACAAGAATGTTTGAATAACTTTGAATTAAAATTGGGGAAAATGATAATGTATAAAATTGATATTTTATCAATTTATTATACTCCTAAGATGACCTGATGAGAGCAGTAATTTTTACATAAAATATTTTGATTGAAAAAGAAAAATGTTAAATTTCAATATAGTTTTCCGCTTAAATTTGGATTAAAAAATTATCGTGTAGTATAAAAAAATAAAAATTAAAGAAATTTAGGTTACGAACAAACTCTGTTACCAAAAATAAATTAAATCTAAAAATTAACTGTCATGTATGAATTTGGTAACTTTCGCAATTAATTAAAAAAAAATGCTAGACCCTGAATAATCTAATATAGATGACTTATTTAAATGCATAAATTACACTTCAAAATAATAATACATTGAATATTATTATTGTCATTGAAAACTATTTTACCGTAGAGAAAAAAAAATTCTACAAAAACTCCTTCTACTTCAATAATTTAATCAGTGAATTAATAAACAGTGTTAGTATTTTTTTTTATCACACTGCACGATAATCACTCTTTAATCTCCTATTCAGTTTACTGATTTTTTTTTTTTTTAAGTCCAAGCAAGACAAAGTTTACTTGCTTCAATCTTCAATCACAAATTTAATTAAAAAATCCCTTATTACAGATTATAAAAATGCAGACGGTGCAGAAGAAGATAAAATCAAAAATTGATAGTGATAATTGAAAGGGATTTAATTAAATTACACATCGTTCAATTCTGATGGAATCGATTAATTAACAGCAATTTTTATTAATAATTTTGCAAATTAATTAGTTGGCAAAAAGTCAAGAGTGCCAATTTGAGTGTTCACTTTTCCTCCTGGTTGATTGTCAATCAGACACGAGCTCAGGATTTTTCACACATAATTACCCAAATTCATCGGTACTTTGATTAATTCTCAAATGATTAATCACGGCATTATCGAATAATTAATTGAATGAGTAAATCTGGCGCAAAATCAGTTGCGGCGACTCGCCGGCGTGACAGTCTTGAGTGCCGAATTGCCGAAAACGACGACTTGAGGCATCGACGGACGAGGCCTCCGACCGGTGCCCGAGCCCAAACGCAGCCTCGGACAAGCCGGAAGAGGGTGAGAAAAGAAAATAAACCTTGAGAGACTCACCTCGGATCGACGCGAAAAAACAGCATAAGATGGCCAGCCGAAGCGCCATTAACATCCTAGTGGCGTGCAGGGTCGAGCGGACGCATAACTCGCCGATTGCGGTGCATTTAGCCGACGGTCTGAGTCAAAATCGGCCGATCTTGGCAATGTTTTCGTTTTGCCGATCACAGTGCGCCGAGCGCCATTGCTTCAAAAACTAACACACACCAACACCACTCGCTGGCGCACTCGAATTCTTTCCCCCTCCACTTGTTTTATTCACAATCGCCGGCCCCCACCACCTCGTTATGAGAAGACTGGATGTAGCGGAGGAGCAGCCGAATGCATGCACCGTCGCGCTATCTTACAAGAGGAACATCAGCATCACCTTTTTTCACACCTACGCAAAACGGCTCCAATCAGAAACGCATAGTTTACGAAACAAAACAATTAATGGATGGGTACCAATTTTTGTTTACAACTTGCTAAGAATCAGATCCTATCATTACACATTGCAGAAAAATTATTTTTTAATTTAAGAATGGAGTTATTCTTTCTTCTTAAATACTTTTTCTTTTACCGAGAGGCCTCATGAATCGGTTTGAAACTTTAATCAAAATAATTTGTCAACTATTATTCGAACATCATTTTCATCATCACTTGTTATTGTTTAAAAAAACTATTCATTTAATCTTTTTTATTATTCAATGAGCACCCGAGCTGCAAAAGTGTTCAGTAACAAATACAAGAGCATATCTACTGAAATTTTAAAAATCATCTTAAGCTGCAATTCAGTTCAATTAATTTAATCTATCACAACAAGCATAGGTTTAAAATATTAAAACTAGCAAAATATTTAATTTTATCTGACTAATAGTAAAAAATATACTTGATGACAATGACTTTAAATAAAAATGCTGTTCTTTTATACATCCACTTTATTTGTGGAACATTTTTTTTAGGTTTTTATAAAGTTTTATAATTAAATGTTTACTGCGGGGGAGGAGCTCCTCGTCCACGACCAAATCCACGCTGAAATTGAAAAAAATTTATACCACACCAAATTTCATCATTTTACTTCTAAAAAAGCTGCTTTAAGATAATGAAACTTACGCTGAAATCAATCTCAGCTGAGCCAGCGCCGACCTCAGCCTTCTTGTCAGGAGCTCCGGTTCCCTTTCTGTAGGCAGCACGGTCCTCTGCAGTTTTGGATGCGTCTCCCGATCTGGGAGCCGAGGGGCGAGGTCTCGCCGTCTCAGTCCTGGTCTGTCTCTTCAGGGTGGCAGGGACGATCTGATGCAAAATTCAGGTCAATTAGTAAGCTTGATGGATTGCGGAACATTTCAGAGAAATAACTTATTTAAAAGATTTGTAAATGAATTTAGAAATATTATAATTCTTTTTTTCTTCACAGTAAATGCAAAATTTTTATATTGGATAAAAAGAGACAATTAGCCCGACATCAGAAGAAACTCGGCCGCCGAGACAAACCCAATGAAATTTAATATTGATTTTATGGATGATGTATTTGGGCTTTGGGCAGAGAATGCCCGGTGAGACATTAATAAACAAGATTGGAAAATAAACCGTCTAAAAAAATGACTTTTAAGAACCTCATAAAAAATATAAACAAAGTTTTATTATGCTTTAAGAGCTGCGAATTTTATTATTAATTAAAACTTACTTCAGGTGGCAGATGAAGGAAGGTTCTCAGGTAATTGATACCTTCATTGTTCAGGTACCAATAATAGTGCCTCCAGGCAAACTGCTCGTTGACAAACCCACGAGATTTCAGAGACTGAGAGGAAAATAAATATGCATAAATTCCAGGTTAAAACAATTTTTAATTAAAATTACCTGCAAAGCTTTGATGACCTGAAGGTTCGGAATAGCTTCCAGTTCTGGGTGCTTTGGTGCGTGGAAGTCCTTTTTGGCCACCATAACGCCCTCCTTGAAGAGGTATTCGTAGATGGCTAGCTTATTCTTCTTCGGCATCAACATCCTGCAAGTTAATTCAGGGTTAATTCTAGCACACCAACGTCCATGTGTGGACGTAAACATCAACCCATGACAGCAAAGTTTGCGAACTTTCGGCCCGGATTTTTAAGTCAGGTAGGCTCGACTGGCCGAAATTAGCATTGCCGGCGTGTTAATCGGACATTATGTATTCTAAAAATCGCATTTTCTTACTTGAAATGTCCGTGATGATTAATGCACAAAGGGATGAAAAGTTGGAAACGCAAATCGCCTGACCGACAAGAGCGCGATCCACACTGCGAAAGGGGCGTAACAGATGAACGTCACCAATATTGAATCAAAAGGGCGCCAAATGTGCATTGTTCAAAATATTTTTGAAAACATAATTATTCTAATTATTTAAGTTTACCTACCACTAGATGTCTGCTAAAAAGCACGATAGAAGCGAAGTTTTTGATAAAAAGTTTCTTCATCATCATCATTGTCGTCAAATGGTTCACATTAGATGAAAAAGATAATAAACCATTATTTCATTATTTTTAGGTATCTTTTTACTAATAAATTTTTTTTATTACATAATTGGTAATTGGTATAATTCTCAATCTCCTCAATTTAATTTAACTGCATAATTTTTTAGCGTATATTGTAAAATAATTTTATGGTGTATATATTATCACGTTGTGGGCAGCAACAGCAATAAATGATAGCCTTTGTGATAGTCGGTAGATCATTACTACAACTTGTAGCTAATAATAAAAACTCGCAATGGAGTATCAAATTTATGTATGATACTAAAATTTAACCAGATTATTAGTAACTTTACCTCATTTTATTGTATTAATAATATTATAATTTATTATAAATTGTTCAAGTAAAGACGTAGGAAAAGACATATTAAAGGAAAAATAATAATTGAGCTAATTTAAAGAAGTTTTTATTTTCAACAGCCACAGAATCAATGTGAGTGCGGACAGTTAAATTAATTATGAACACAGTGGCAAACAAAATACAAATCAGGGCGATCGTATCGTATCTGAAACTATTATTTCAAGTACCATCCTACGAGCAAGAATGTGATTGATCATAACATTGAATTACATAAAAAAAATGCAGACTAAAATTAGCTGGAATTAAATTGAAATCAAGCGCTAGGGCTCAATCATTGTTTACTGATTTTAATTCTGAACAAATGTGGACACATCAACATAATTAGGTGCATGAAGAATGGAAGGGAAATCAAATTTGCCAAATCAATAGTGAAAAACTATGGCCAATTCGAAGCTAGTAATATTTTTTTTTTACATACTTTCATTTTTTGCAAAATACCGTTAGATTTTACATATCTGTAGCCAGTCTTCAATCACCTTAATTTGCTAATCAAGTTTACATGTACAATAAATAAATTTGAAAGGGGATTCCTTTTATTTTTCTTTTATTCTAGGTGATCGTACGAACCAGTGTGATTATGGCAAACTGTATCACGAATGTATAGAGAGATGCTAGTGGTTTTTATTGCAAAAAACGAATCAAAGCGTCACGAGCAATGTTGACAGGTAGGATAAGATTAAAATCGTGTGTGCAAATTTTGTCCGGTAGATTCCCTGAATTCCATTTACTCGCAATTAATAATAAATTATGTGATAACAACAACTTGGAATTACTATTTTTAAATCAGAAATAATAATTATCCTCGTGCGCGTCTAAGTAGCGCAAAGATATTCCATTCACACAAAACAACTACGGCTAAAATACATTTCTCATGAAAAATTTCGGTGCAAAAACTATTCTCTGATCAGCAGCAGCCTTAATAATAAAAGCTGCGGTAGTTAATGAACTAAGTTATTCACAATTATACACATGTATATGAACTCTACATGCGCGCACAGTTGAGTTCGAGCGCACGATGCCTCAACTGGATGGACACGCACAAGTTGAACAGATCAGAAAAATTAAAAGTACCTGCTGTTGATGCTGCAACGCTATAAAAATTGCACGCATTTTCTCATTTTTTTCTTCTCTCATTACGTACTGTATCACAAGATATCAAGAGTATCACTTATGTAACAAATATTTTAATAAAAAATTAGCCTATTGTATTTCATAACCTGTCTTAAAAAGCATCCATGGATGGACTTTTTTCACTTGTTATGCTCAGACAGATACTTGCTGGTTACAAAAGGGGCTCGGGGGCAGTTCGGTAGCTTGGAAAGAAGTTCCAATTAACAGAAAGATAGAAAGAGGCTTGTAGAGACGTTGGACTAGGAACTGAGATATATTCAATGGCGCATTCCTTGATTCAATAATACAAAACGCAGCTTGATTTATTTGTTGTTGGATAAGTAGGATCAAAGACGTGATGAGTTTCAATTGAAAAATTAAAAGCTTGGGGTCATATTCTTATAGGAAGATTGATTTAAGAAATGAATTAAGTAAAAAGCTGTTTTCAATTTTTCATTAAAAAGGATGTCCTAAAAATTGACACTTTCAGAGGGTTTATAAATAGGATTTTTTCAAGTTAATTAGGAAATTTAAAAACCTAGAAGAGAGCGATAGTTAAGGGGGAGAAAGAGGAGGCGGCAGTGCAGGTGGAGGAATATCGATGGTGCAAGTCTCATTTCCCAGAATCAGTCTCAGCCTTTTCATGGGGGGCCGCGTGAGGGGTGGCGACAGTCTGGGCAAAGTTTCCCACGCTTGGTTTAGCTCGGCCGCAATGTCCCGGCGCATTTTTCTGCTTGCCCGTTTGACTTTGTGCTTCTTCCTGTGGTGAGAGTCGAAACTGGCACCGGAACTGCTGCTGCTACAACTACTTCCAGGGGAACTTGGCGAGTCGATCGGGTCCATATTCACTCCTTCCACTTTCAGAACTTCGTACTCGGCCTGCATGTGCGAGGAGCCAGTGTTAAAGGGGAGACCACTTTCAATGATTTCATCAATCATGGGACTTCTCTTCAGTTTCAGGGTCAATTTGACCGCGCGATGGGGCGGAGTGACACACCTCACCTCAGGTTCCTCTACTTCTACTGGCACCCACTTCTCTTCTTCCTCCTCCTCCTCCTCCTCTTCGTCATCCTCCCACTTTGGCTCATCCAAGGGAAACAGTTCTTCAGGCACCTCTTCTCTGATGACCACCTCACTTGGCGCAGAGCAGTATCTGGAATTTTTGGCCACGGCTCTGCTCGGCTGCCTTCTAACGCCGTTGCTTGGCGCCCGGCCGGAGCAAATGTCGAGTTCGGCAAACTTTCTTGCATACTCGGCCTCCTCGGAACGGAGTCGGGTTGAGCGTCGCTGGATTTCGTCGTCGCGAAGCTCTTGAAGTTGCTGCTGTTGCGGCCCTGTGAGTTTTTTGTGGTTGCGCAGCGTGATCCCCTCCTTCAGTGGCATCTCGGCTACAGAATCTGCGCCCGTGGAGACAGAGTCTTGGTCGCTGCTGCCAGTACTCTGCGAGTCCTCGGACGCACGAAGCCGGTCCCCCTGCTTGCCACGATTGGAATTTCTGGATCTCTTGCGCAGCTCCTTAGGCTGCTGTTTGGCACTGCTCGCATCGTACTCAAAGTCCGTGAACGTGCAGCCCTGTGCCAAAAGCATCTCTGCGTCATACTTGGTCAGCCCTTTCTGCCGCAGCTCTGTGACACTCAACCGAGATTTCAAAGGGTTTTCACTCTCCTCTTCTTTGGGCTTGTTGTCAACGGTTTTTGTACGGCTTAATCTATTGTCTGTCTCTCGTAACCGATACCTGCCGTTCGTCTCTGTGTTCTTGTCACTTTTTGCAAATGCTCCTGTTCCTCTCCTGAAATTCAAGATCAACTTGGTAACTTCAGATTCATTAAAAAATAAAAAATTACCTTTCACAAGTTTCACACTCGCAGTAACAGTTTCCGTCGCCAAAGAAGTCCTCTCCGTAGAAACACGTTATCTCCTCACCAACGTCAATATCTCGAAGAACTTTTACGCAGGCTGTGTCTCGTCCAGTAGCAACAAACTGAAAGGATTGCATAATTTAAAATTTATAAAGAGATTAATAAGATTGAAGAAAGAAATTATTAAATTTTTATGGATTGCTCGGAAGGTACTTGCTTGTGAAACTAAGGTATTCTTATCGCTTTTTGCAATGTTAAAAGCGAAGTGATGATTAAATATTGAGTGTATTTGAATAAAAAAATTGTTGTTCTGACTTCCGACAGTATGTGGCATTCAGTTTCGGGGTCAAAGAGTTAGAAAAGATATAAAAAATTATCAATTAAGATCTAGATAAATTTCAAATCCCAAGTTTGTAAACAATATAATTGCAAGTATTTTTCATTGTTTTCATTTGGTTTTAAAAGAAAGGTATCAAATGGTTTTTTTATTAAAATTACTTTGCAGTTGGCTCGGCAGTCATGATTGATGTAAGCTGCTGGGCCAAGCCAAAGCTGGGCACAGTTCTTTCGACAGCTGTACATAACAGAGAAGTCATTTTTTCCAGGATGGAGCAAAATTTCCTCTTCGGCTTCAGTCAGCTCAGCTATGCAGCCGACCAACATGGAGATCTTCTCGTTTTTGTTCCACTTTTTAGTGGCACATATTTTAGCCCCCTTCTGACCTTCCTGAGAGTAGCGAAAACAGGACTCTATTGAAAAGCCCGAATTCTTGTCAAATACTCTTAAATAGCGGTAAATCTAAAAAAAGGTAAAATGGGTAAAGGAAAATTTATTATTTTAAAACTGAATTACGTGTTCCTTGAGGGTGTGCTGGTTAAGCTTGTTTTTGGACATGTAAGCGCCCATGATACCCTCGACTGAAGCCAGTCGCTTGAAGGCTCTTTCATAGTTCTGATTCTTTATAAAATCCTGCACAATTCTTTTGAACTCGTCCTTGTTTGTTTTCACGGGTCGATATCTACATGAAAAATTTAATTAATATGTAATGAATAACAATCATCCTCCCAAGGCCACGCACCTAATGTTCATTTTGTGAGTGACAAACCCCAAGTAGGGGTCGACGATGATTGCAGTGGCTATGTCATCGTTGTCTGACAGCTCCTTCGGTGACATGGCCACAGCTGGCGGTTTGCTGGAGTTGTTCTTGGGCACTGTGTCCACCAGCATCCTACTAGCTGTGCACACCATGGTCATCGTATTTCAGTTTTTTTGATAGCGTTTGTCCGATTATCCGCAGTGGTTGTGTGTGACGACAACAAAGCAAAGTTTCAACTTCCTGTAGGTTGCCCCACAATTTTCCACGACATGGAATTGCTGGCTGCAGTCCTCCACAGACATTCACTCCTCAATCCCAGGCGTCTGAAAAGCAAACAGCAAAAATATCAATATACAAATTTCAGTCGAGAATCAACAACAAGTTCAAACTTTCTATATTTTGAAAACACGGAAAGAAAACAGCCCGAAAAACAAAACTCATTGTTGTTTATCGACGTCAGTCAGACAGGGTTGCCATTTTCGTGCTAGACACGGAACATCACGACAAAGTTTTATCCTTTGAAAATTTTGCTTTTGCGTCGTTGGAATTTCATTTAATAAAATATTTTCAATCTGGGTTTAATGGAGAATGAAGTTAAGGTCGCATTTTGGGACTTCGGGGTCACAGCGTAAAATAAGGAGCAATCGAAAAGCGACGGCTTCGTGATATTATGTTATGGCCGCAACAATCACATACATACACTCGACACTCCCCATTCTTATGTACACCTGCCGTTCACATGCATTTAAATGCTCAGAATAAACCCGATAACCCTTATCACGACTCGGAATGACCGCAAAATAAGTGAACTTGGGCAACTTCAGTCATGAAATGCCCGAAATTGTAAATTAAGGGTTCCACGAAAATGTCAAGGACAACGAAAAGTGCCTCAAGAGTTCAATGGCTGAGCCAGTGCGTTTGAAGCAAAACGAACCCGTTCGTGGCCGAAAAACTGCGGCGGGACCGACCTTGCGCGTCCATAGCGATTGAAAATTTAACCGGCGATAACTGATGCAGCGGAAAACACATTCAAAAATAAAATATGTGGTCATCGGAATTGGAAAATAAGACAAATTTGAAAAGTTTTTAGACGCACCTAGACAGTCAATCATGGCGATCCTGCAGAACACGAGCTAACGGTATATCAGCTGGTGTACAAAACTTTTGCCTAATTTCAGGCAGTATTTGCCTGAAATAATCCAAAAGTCGAACAGAAAGACGATTTAGAGCATGTGAACAAGGAGTTATTTTGAGAAAAAATGCTAAAATTTGCAATTTGCGCATTACTTGTAAAACTATTTTGCGTTCGCGGAGGGAACTATATTCTCAGCCTAGACGCTAGCTCCAGAGGAGGAGGAGGGTTGGTAAGCGAAGCAAGCGCAGCGCCTTCGGAAAAAGCATCTCCCTCGATCTCGCAGCGACTCCTGCTGCAAGTGCTGCAGTCCCCGGCAACATCTCCTATTCCCTATTCTCATTGCACAGAAGAAAAGATCCATTTTAAGTTAAAATTCCGTAAAATTCAAGAGAGATGACAGATATCATGTATTTCTGAAACGCAGTTCAAAGGCGCGGCGGATCTTAATTTACATGCACTGCACACGATAACACTTCTTCATCTTATAATTATTGCGTATATAAATACGCTAATATGTTTCTTATCCCACCAGTTCTAAAAATATTCATATTGTACTTTCTTGGTTTTCATGAAAATTTATTGGAAAATTTTATTCACGAATACGTTCATAAACTGATAAACGTTTTTGCCCGTAAATTTTAAACGAGAACAAATTTTATGTTATAAGTCTTTGATGATGTAAATTTTTAAAATGAAACAATTTTTTGTTTACTTGCAATTTATTTAAATTTGATCAAAAGTTAAAAATCATGAAAAATATTCAAAACTTAACCATTAAATTTATAATTTTATTATTGATACACATTACATAGGATTCAGAAAAAAATTAACTCATAATTTTAGAATACCTATTAAAGAGGAAAGATATCGCCAAAAATTTATTAAAAAGAGTATTTTTATTTCTGAAATCTGTTGATCACATCAGATTACATAGACATGATGCAAATTTATAATTAATCTAATCTTACTTCGTACTTCGACTTAATGCTTAATGCTCCTTGCATGCTCCTGTGCATTGCATACAATACAAACATACAACCTATATGTATTGTCACATTAATTTCAGCCCTGCGTGGTTGTTGATTAGGTACGCCAAGTCGCCGCTATGGCGCTGCATAATCAAGTTGTGAAAAATTTGGATAATTTTTCAATTTTTGGATGATTAATAAGTAAATCAACTTCATTTTCGTCAAAACAAAATATGCACGCAACATTATAAATATATACAACATAACCGGAGACAGAGATTAAATAAAAGTTGCAAAATCCTCTTGATTATTTCATTTATTTCATTGTTGCAGATTTTATTATTTTTTTTTTAGGTTGGCACCTCTTCCGAGGGAAAAGACAAAAGACTGTTGACCAACGACTTGCAAGAACGACGAAAAGGAATAGGTTTTCGGCAGATTCGTTTTAAGGTTTGTTTAGGAATGCTAGCCGACCCTGACGAGTGACGATTATGTCCAAGTCCTGCAACAAGAGCCACGCACTGCTGCCTCAGTTGGACGAGTTGTGCGAGAGTCCCCGTCTTCTTGGTGTGGACCCCATTGTGCGTTACTTCCCGCCCTTGAAGATCAACGGACTCGCCGACGACAAGAACAGCAAACCGACCACACCGTATTTTAACAAGAATTTGTCTAAAATGAATGCCGAGTACGAGGACAGCGATGATGACGTCTGCTTCGGACCCATCACCATCAAAGAACTGCGAAAAGCGTCGGTTCTAATGAGGACCATGCGAGAAAGGTGAGATCGGAGACGTCCTGTTAACGACATTTTGTTTCATAATTGCCAGACAGCAGATTTTATATCATTAAAATCTTCGCCTTTCTGACAGAAATGTCAGGAATTAAACATTTCATTGTAATTTAGGCTTTCCAGTCAGCAAAATCGCAAGATTAAGTTTTGATTTGAATGTAAATAACGGTAAATAACACATAAGTATGTTGGCAAAACTTTAATGCGAAAAGCTTCGGCAAGCTCTAGTGGAGATAATTATTGGTTGCTATCATTTAATGCAATTGGAATTTATTATAAAATTTCCAGGAGAATTTTTGAACATCTTAAAATAAATCAAATAATATTTAAATCCCAGAATTTTTTTTTTTTAGTAGTAAGGTTTGCGCATCACAACAATTATTGAGCAAATTTCATTGTTGCCGACCTTTTGTTTGAGTACAATTTTCCTCGCACTCATATCCATATTTCGCTCGACTATCAGAATCAGGGCTCAAACAGCAATCAAATTATGACCGTTCCTTTAGGAAGAATGATTTTCAAATTTAATTTTACAAACAAAATTGTGCGACAACACTAATAATTTTTTTATTATTTCAGAGAAAGCGTTGCTCCAAAAACTTTTCTTGAGGCCTTAGAAGAACAAGGAGCCACTTCCAACACTGAGCTTTTGTCAGATGAGACTGAAGCTGAGACATCAGCACCGCCACCGAGTCCAGAAAAAGCCCAGCCAGAGCGAGAGTTGGTAGTGCAAGAGTTCAGCCTGGAGGAGTCTCACTTCTCAGGATGCAATCTGTCAGGACTAAACCTTAGCTTCGAGAGTGGCATCACGGGACCTGCAGCTCCCGTTGAAACTAAAGAAGCTACTGGAACGAGCGATGGTTTGTATACTTTGGCCTTCATATCAGACCTGGCCAAGAAGCTGGACATAAAAGAGGAGCCAGTCACTCCTGCTAAGGTTGCTGAACTGGTTAGACCCATCTACAGTCCCATTTCTCCAGCTGATGGCGAGACCAGTCAGTACGAAGATGCTGAGATGGCCAAGGAACCTCTGGAGCACAGCACCATTGCCCTGTGGCACGATGCTGAATCTGAAAGGAAAGACCATCTGGACTTGGATAGGAGTGCTAAGAAGAGAATTTCGGACGTTTCTCTCTTGAGTAATGAGACTGAGGTATTGGATACCACTACCGACGACAAGAATGACACTGCTGAGCTTTTGAATGATACTATTGAAGAAATGGAAAAGTTATTGAGCATGGACGTTGATTACTTTCAAAAACAGAAGGAGCAAGACGATGTGGTGAGTATTGATTGATTGATTAAAATTAAAATATAAACTCTTTTGTAACACTTGCCTTTCATTAAGGTAGTTATTAAAATTATTTTTTAAATGTTAAAGGTTGAAATCCAGAAGGAAGCAGAAGACATGTCTGGAGAAAATTCAAGTTTCTTTGCTCCTCGTCAGCCAAAGTTGCCTATTCAGGAGATGCTGGAGGAGTATGCCATTCCTCGAAGTCCTGTGCTCTCAGTGCAGCCAAAGCCTGCTAAGAAATTTTTCCCCACCCCAAATGCATTTAAAACTCCTCAAGCCGCAAAGGCCCCCACAACTGACAGGTGTAACAGTGCTGGATCCAACTCAAAGGTCGACCCTGCCCGCAAAGTGCACGTCAGCACTCCTTTCCGGGTGCCCAAAAGCAACGAGGCTAGGTCTGCCGACTTCAAGCTCAAACCTGGCTCTGACACCAAACCTAAGCTGCCTGCCAACTTCATGCCATACAAACTGCAGCAGCCTTTGTCTTCACGGCTGCCCAAACCGGTTCGAGCTTTCCAGAACATCACCAGCCCAGTCGGCCAATACATTCACGGACCTGTGGTTGCTCCCATGATTGCCAACGCTAAGCCTACGAGCAGCCCAAGGGTTGTCGGAAAACTTTTTAATGGTGGAACTCCCAACAAACTGGTATGCATGGGAAATAGGAAACAAAATATAAACCTGAGTTCACTTAAAATTTGTACTTTTAGACTCCTGCTAAAGCCGAGCTGGAAAATTTGAACCCCAATTCTGCTCTGCCTTTTGTGAACTATGATTCCTCTTCATCGATCAAAGTGGTTAGTATTATAGGTTTTAAGTGATTTACAGTCTATTCTAATCAAGGTCCGCGCATCAGCAACAATGAAAAATGATTTGATTGTTGTTTGAGCTCTCTGATTGGGTACAAGAAACGTTGTACCCAATCAGAGAGCTCGACAACAATCGAAATTTTCTGACGAGCGGACCTTGATTCTAATTTAAAATTATCTCTTACAAAAATAAGTTCTAGCAAATCCAAATTTTGGAGAATAATTTAGAAATAAAGTTTATTCTATTAAAAAGTTTTGTATCATTTCGTAAAGTATTGTATTCAACTTGAGCTATAAAGAACTAATAAAAACGATGTGGTATGTTTCAGGTGGAGCACAAAGAAGTGTCTCAGAAAGCCCTGCCAAACAAAATCAAGAAGCTTCTTCCTTCTCCTGGCTCTGTTGTACTGAAGCATACTGGTAGGAATTTTATTTATTACTTTTTAATTTTACAAGTAATTTAAACAATTTTTGAACTGCAGGACGTGTGAACATACCAGAGACTCAGGATGGCCGTCATGAGGTTTCGATTATGGTCTCGCAAGATGCATTCCACACTAATGACATGTGAACCATGGAATGAAACCACCCCTTTCTCAAATGCATTCTTTGCTGTTAATCCTGTTGATTAAACTTGAATAACAAAGTATTTACATTGTCAATCCAATTGCTCTATAAACTGCACCAAAATTAAGGGGATTGATACACAAAATTAAAGGAGAAGGCTATTTATTTTCTAGTTTTTGATATTTTAACTGTACACTTCTCATATGATCTGTAAGATTCGTATAACTTTCATCTTTTGTATTGCTGTATCTCTTTTTATACTAATATTAAAGTATGTAGCTTAATATAAAGAGTATTTTTCATTCAACAAAATATGAGATTTTTTTATTAACGAAACAGCGTTTCTGTAATACTAATTGTAAGAATTATCAAGACAAAATCCCTTTCTCTAATTAAATATTTTTGCATGTTGTTCATGTCATAATTTGTGGAAAACCATTGTCCTTTATAAAATTTAAAAAAAAAATAATAATATTAATTTTTTCTGTTTTTGCCGCAAAATTAAAAATTACCTACTAAACTTAATGCTAACATAACAAAGGAAAATGTGGATTAAATTTAAAAAAAATAAATGATTTGATAATTTAGTATCATATCGAGAGAAAAATATCCAGAATTTAAAAAATGGTCATTTTGAATCAATTTTTATGTAAATTGAATGTTAACGTGTAATTTGAAATAAAGAAGCAACAATAATTAGTTTTTTATTGTTGGTACACATGCAAAAGGGTCCCGCCAGTCCACCACAGGCTCCACCCAATCGACAACTATGGCGTTCGAATTCCGAAGTGTTCAGAATTCTGCAGTTTAAATGTTTTCAATTTTCGGATGACCGTCAAGCTGATAGCCCGCCGCTCAAAGTTCTGTTGTGAACTTTAGTATACTGCAGTTTGAAATCCAAGAAATTCGCGTAGAATACCGATAGCCGCTTGTTCAATCGGACGTTTGTAAACCAACCCTTATCGAAATGGATTTTCTGCGCGCTGTTTCCGACCGTTTCTGGAGTAAGCACGTGTGGCTGCCGCCTAACGCGACCTGGGCCGACGTCTCCAAAAACGATGAGGTTCAACACACCATTCCCACCGACCTCATCTACCCCATCCCTATGGCCTTGCTCGTCCTCGTCATCAGATTTGTCTGTGAAAGGTATGAATTTTTTGAACAGGAAGCCGGTGTTGGTACCTCGCCCTGTCACGCAATGTCACGTGACACACCCAGTCGGGGTTTTGACAAGTCGAGGAGCAACAACTTTTTAGCCGGAAATTGACAGTCGCTTTACCCCTCGTGATTCACTCTAATGCGTCGGTTCCCCCATGCAACCAATTAATTTTGTTGATTTTTATCAATTCCGTGAGATTGATCGCATGTTGTTTTCACAGGTACATTTTTGCGCCCCTTGGGGTTGCTTTGGGTCTGAAAAGTACAAAGACCAAAAGAGCACCACCAAATGCAGTCCTCGAGAAGGCCTACATAAAAATGAAGGGGCCCAACATGCACAAGATGGTCAGTATGCGGATTTCTCCAATGATGCGTGATATGAATATAAATTAATTGCTGGAACATATATTTATAGATTCAAGGCCTGTCCAAGCAACTAGACATCTCTGAGAGGCAAATTGAGAGATGGCTGCGACTACGAAAGGCCCAGGACAGACCCACAACGCTTGTCAAGTTTTGTGAGTCTAGGTGAGCGAAAGCATTTGTGGATTGCTCATTGATGTAGATAAGGAAACTATCTCAAGTACAGTGTACACATTACAAACAAAAAATGCATTGAAGGTATAACCAATAGATAAGATTGCTGGTGACTAATGAAAGGACTCTCTTGCCTTTGACGCATTTCTTTTGTCGTCAAGATCTGATTTTCTTCAACATTAAAAATTAAATCACTAACTATTTTATTAAGTGACGCATCCAACCATTAGTCAACTAATAGCATTATTTGATAATCAGGGATCAGGTGCAAAACCAAACACAGCGTCACTACACAGCTGTATGGGATTAAATTGTTAATTATTTCATCATGTGACCATATTTTTTTTCTACTTGTTACAAAAAAGATTGACTGAAAAATAAATAAAATTTCTCTGGAGGTTTAAAAAGGAAGAAGGTAAATTCAGTAGTTAAAGGAAAATGGAAGATTAAGTGTTGTTAACCTATGGTGCGGTATCCATTTTTTTTTTTCAAACTTTACACTAGTCTCATTCGTGTAAATGTTTTTGAACTTAATTTATTAACTATAAGCGTGGAAAGGCAACAACCAATAATTGTATCAAAATTATAGAAACCAGTGCAGATTATTATAAGATTTTTTTTAATGGGAGCGTGATTTATGCAAAGCTCCTGAATTATTTAAAATTGCATTTATAAGCAGCAAAAAACAGGCTAGTTGTGGGTAGCAAAATTTTTTATTATTACAAAAATTGTTTCTGTTAGAGAAATTAGTATAGATTAAATTTTGAACTTTCCATTTAGTATATTCACAAAAAATTTATTGTGAACATTTCAGCTGGCGGTGCTTGTACTACGCCATCTCCTTCAGCTATGGCTTCTACATTTTGAAGGACAAGGTTTGGTTCAAAGACATCAACCACTGCTGGTACAATTACCCACACCAAAACCTGACCAGAGACGTGTGGTGGTACTACATGATGAACATGGCCTTCTATTGGTCACTGACCATTTCCCAGTTCTTTGACATCAAACGTAAAGATTTCTGGCAGATGTTTGTGCACCACATTGCCACTCTCATGCTGATGAGCTTCAGCTGGGTGTGCAACCTCTTTAGAATTGGGTCTCTGGTCATCGTTGTGCACGACATTGCTGACATTTTCCTAGATGTGAGTTACTTGCTTATCCATGCAGATTGGGAGGAATTATTGAATAATTTTACAGGGTGCAAAAGCTCTGAAATATGCTAACTACCAAAGAACCTGCGACTGCGTTTTTGCAGTCTTCACCTGTGTTTGGATCATTTCTCGCATCATCGTCTACCCTCTGTGGATTATTAAAGCGTAAGTAGTCGTAATGCACAACTCTGCCATTTTCTAACCAACATTTTGACATTGCAGCACTTCAATTGAAGCTCCCACCATTGTCGAGATGTTCCCTGCATACTACATTTTCAACTCGCTGCTGTTACTGCTTCTTGTGCTCCATATTGGTTGGACCTACCTCATATTGCGCATAGTTCAGAACTCTATTATGGCTGGACAGGTAATAACTTCCGTAATTTTGTTATTACTGGTCATAATTAAATTTGCGATAATAATAACGCAAAAGACAAAATTGTTACCACATAAAAATATTATGGAATATCAATTTTCATCACCTTAAAAAAAATTCATATTGCACTTGATATACCCTTTTTAATTAATGAATAATTAATTCCCTTATAGATGGATGGTGATGTAAGAAGCTCATCAAGTGAAGATCTCCCATCGGCTCTCAGTGAGGACGATGCTGCCAAAGTCAGCAATCAGAATGGTACACCGAAGAAAAACGGAAAAGCTAACTGATGTTTTAAAACACCAAGGGCGAAGCTGTCGCGCTTATTACCATCCAAATTCCTTATTTAAATGTTTAATACATTTGACAGGACTCAGTCACTTATAAACTTCACATTACTTAGTAATATTTGTTGTTGCCAAAATTACATTTCTTTTATGTTATTTATGTGCCTTGCTTGTTTAGGTTAAGGGCCATTTAGTGTGTAAGGAGTTGTGAACATGAGGTGTATTGTTTTGCCAGTTTATTCCGAGTGGAGGCCATTCAAAAATTTAAGATGAAAGTTGCTGTGTGAATGGTTGTTTGCGTATTCCACATTCCCATCACTTTTAAGTCCCTGCAGTACTGAATGCGTGGCATTTAACATTTTGCGAGTCAACACTGTTGTGCTGTATTTTCTTAATACACTAATTACTAAGAAATGCAAAATATCTTTAGTTACTTGTCGGAGCTAAAGCCTTCCAAGTTTATGTTTGCTTTCAAGAAATAATAAAGGAATCGCATTATTATGTACAGATCAAATCTGCCTTTTAATGATTTTCAACCTAATATTTCAGACATCAAGCGATTATTCAAATTCATTTAACAGAGAATATAAACAATACAAAGTAAAAATAAAAAGAATGCTTGTGCTTTAATTGAGTGATCTTGAATGTCTTACTTCTTTTTCTTTGACTTGGAATGAGAGGTTGCATCGGAGGCGTCGCTGACTGGTCTAGGTTTCTGCCACTGCAGTGGTTTTCTCCTGTACATGGGCCACGGAGGAACAGTCACCTTAAATAAAATTATTTGGTAAGCCACATAAATGTCTATCTTCTGTCTAAAATAAAATTGTCCGCATCTTTTCCACAATTTTGAGCAGAGGGGGAACCTCCGAAAGCTCTAGTTTTGTTTTATTTATTAGTTAGACCTTGCAGGAAAAGCCAAAGTTTGGAAATTAGATGTGGTAATTGTCTTTGTAACTTAATATATTAGTTAATTATTCAATTACCAAGCAGGCCAGCACAAAACCGGCTCCTAGGATGTAAACAGTCTGTGAAAATTGTTGGATGATGTAGCCCCACACTAAACCAACAGCCTGAAAAAATATATGTAAATCGTTAAAAAATAAATTCGAGAAATCTAAACTTATAGGAAAATTAAAAAAAATCTAAAAGTAACTTACGAGATTTCTTTTTGTATATTTATAAAATTAAAAACACTTACACCGAAGAGAGTGATGATGAGTCTGGAAAGGTTTTCAGCTCTGCTCTGACCGTCATAATCCTGAAATTTTTACACAGTAAGAAAAATATACTACTGTTTAAGCGGTAATTAATTACCATATGGGTTGGAATCGAGTTGAAGAAATCCATTTTAAAAGCTGGTGGGAACTTCAATTAAATTTAACAATCTTTCAATCTTTTAGACAGATTTTGTTTTTGTTGCTTTTGACGTTGTGTTTTGCGACGATTGCGTGTCCCATGCGGCAGCGCCCTCACCGAGCGAATTGCGAATTTTGAAGTTTATCCCAGCTGGCGGCGTGACAGGCAAAAACAAGCGCAAGCAAGCCGAACGCAAAATAATTTTGTTCACTTTGGAAATCGTCCTGAAAAATGATTATTACGAGTGCCGGTAAGTTCTAATATTCACTAAGAAGAGCCTCAGAATTAGCTGCAATGAACCACACATTAAAAATTGGCCGAAAGCCCGAACTTTTTTTTTGTTAATGATTTGAAATCTTTTTTTGTAATTTTTGTTATTTGGCCCACACATGCAGATTCATAATTCATTTTGCAAAAATTTATTAGATTGGAATTAACATAAGTTCTTTCTTGTCATAGCTGGAATTCTCTCGCTCCTCTCGGAGCCGATGCCAGAGCTGAAGATCTACGCCCTGAAGCAACTGGACACCATTGTGGACCAGTTCTGGCCGGAAATCTCTGAGGCTATCGAAAAGATGTATATGAATTTTTGCTCCTTAAGAAACTTTGCTGAAGCTTATTTATATTTCAGTGAAATTCTATATGAAGACCAGAATTTCGCAGAACGCAAACTGGCCGCCCTGGTTGCCAGCAAGGTCTATTTCCACCTGGGCTCTTTCGAAGACTCGTTGACTTACGCCCTTGGAGCTGGCAATCTTTTTGACGTCAACTCGCGCACTGAATATGTTGACACTATAATTGGTATAACATTTTTTTAATTGAATAATGGATTATTTTGATCATTTGATTTTTAGCCAAGTGCATTGATCAATACACTGCTCAACGTGTCCGTCTGGCTGAAGCTGGTGACCTGAATGGCGGCGCCATTGATGAACGCCTGACCAACATTGTACGCAACATGTTTGACCGTTGCCTCGCTGAAGGGCAGTATCGTCAGGCCATTGGAATTGCCTTGGAAACCAGAAGCATGGACGTGTTCGAAGATGCTATCACTCGTGCTGTAAGCTCTTTATATAATTTATTTTTTTAACCAAATAAGTATTTTATTATTTCGAATGAAGTAAAATTAGAATTAAAGTAAAGAATCACTATAATGCATATTAAGGTATGAAAAAGTTTTTTTTAGTAACTTAATAAAAATTTGTAATGTAAGTAATTTTTTTAATTAAAACAAACATATAATTTGCAGGATGATAAGGCTGGGATGCTCACCTATGCCTTCCAAGTTGCAATGTCCTTGATCCACCAGAGGAAATTCCGACATGAAGTCCTGCGCAGTCTGGTCAAACTGTACCGTAACCTTTCCACCCCTGACTATGTCAACATGGTCCAGTGTCTCATCTACTTAGAGGACCCTCTTTCAGTTGCCCAACTGCTGACAAAACTTGTGCAATCTAACGAGGTGGGAAACTTTAAATTAACGCTCAAGGACTTTTCTAAAATATCATAATGTATTTTGCAGGACAATGCTCTGATGGCGTATCAGATTGCATTTGATTTGTACGACTCTGCCACTCAGCAGTTTTTGGGTCAGGTCCTTCAGTCCTTGAAGGCAAGTGCTCCAGTTCCATTTGAGGAGAAGAAGGAAAAGGGAGAAGGCGAGAAGCCAGCAGATTTGTCCCAGAAGGTAGATTTCTCCAAAAATTAAGATACATGGCTAGAAAAACTTTTGCTTTTAGACTCCGGAACAGAGGGAACAGCAAGCACGCTTTGAACAGCTGGCAAAAATCCTCTCTGGAACGGTCACCATCGAACTGCACTTGCAGTTCCTCATACGAACTAACCACACCGACATGCTCATCCTGAAGGCCACCAAGGATGCTGTCAGGGTGTCTATTTGCCACACTGCCACTGTCATCGCCAATGCCTTCATGCACAGCGGAACAACTTCTGACCAGTTCCTCAGGTATGGGTATAATTAACAAACCAAAATCAAATATAAAATCTGCTCTCCAGGGAAAACCTTGAGTGGCTTGCCAGAGCCACAAACTGGGCCAAACTGACGGCCACTGCATCTCTTGGTGTTGTTCATCGTGGTCATGAGACGGACGCCTTGACTCTAATGCAGAGCTATCTGCCTAAGGACTCTGGAGCCTCTTCTGGTTATTCCGAGGGAGGCGGTTTGTATGCTCTGGGTCTCATTCACGCCAATCACGGTGTTGGTATTTGCGACTACCTTCTTCAGCAGCTCAAGGATGCACAGAACGAGGTTTTAAAATTTATTTTTAAAACTTGAGATTATTTATTACTTGAAAATTATTTTCTTCAGATGGTGCGTCATGGTGGCTGTCTTGGTCTGGGCTTGGCAGCTATGGGCACTCACAGGCAGGACGCCTATGAACAGCTGAAGTACAACCTGTACCAAGATGATGCTGTCACTGGAGAGGCTGCTGGAATTGCCATGGGTATGGTGATGCTGGGCTCCCAGTCTTCTGATGCTATAGCAGATATGATAGGGGTTAGTATATTATTGAATCCTCATTCTTTACAATAAAATTTAAAAGTGGGTCTGAATTTTTTTAAACATCTTTCTTGAAAGGTCCTGAAAATTGTTTTTCTGCTATCAAGATTCTCCTAGCTTACTAAAAGAATTTTTGTTCTTAGAAGAAACTTGTTAAATAATTTATAACGTGTTCTTTTAGCTGTTGTGGAACCTTTTATGGCTCAGGTTGTTCATTATGTTATAAATAAATAGTAAACTTATTCTTGGACCAAAAAATTTGTACTTTTATGCTAATTATTTACTGAGCCAAGAGAATTAATAACCAATTTTGAATTTTCCTAGTCTTTTTAACAACTGATTTTTGTCAAACTCCATTACCCAGTATGCCCAAGAGACCCAGCATGAGAAAATCCTGAGAGGCTTGGCCGTCGGCATTTCACTGACCATGTATGGCCGCCTCGAGGAGGCCGACACCCTCATTGACACTCTGATTGGCGACAAAGACCCAATCCTGAGGCGCTCTGGGATGTACACTATTGCCATGGCCTACTGTGGCACAGGCCACAACGAGGCCATCAGAAAGCTGTTGCATGTTGCAGTCTCCGATGTCAATGACGACGTTCGTCGCGCCGCTGTCACTGGACTGGGCTTCCTCCTCTTCAGGTAGGACACTTTTTCTTTTCTTTTTCCGCCATTGATTTTTTGAAAAGTTGCTAAAACTCCAATTAGACTATTGACGTCTTGAGATTTATTTTTTCTTTTGAGAGCTTTTGAGAAAAGTTTATTTGCGGTATTGAGACTTCAAGCATCTTTAGAGCACTGAGCGATGGGGAAAGTTTTGCAACAAAGGCCCAAGTGCCACAATGAGAAATCATCCCGTGTTTTTGCGTCGGCTGCGCTGAACACAAAACAATGATCAATCGCGGCAGTCGAAGCAGACTGATTTATCAAGTGCTTGTCTCTTCCCTCAGTGGATATTTCATTATGGCCGCAGACATCAATACGGAAAGGGATGCTTCAATTTCTTTGACAGACACTCGTAGGGTTTCTGCGAGCAAGAGATATGACGCGCGAATTTGGCTACATTTTATTGACCCGGTCTCAATTGATAGATGAGCCTTTTAACCCCGCATCTCTCCCTCCCGAAGAAGAGCCTGGTCGACGATTTCTTCTTCTAATTTGTCCGCGCTGCTGGGGTGTAAATTCCGAAGTCTAATTGCCACTGCGCTTAACAGAGCAGAAATTGGAGTAGTTTATTTATTGGCGACCATCCGAGTTGGGTCTCGACGAATCTCAATGGTTGCGAGAGTAATCAACCCCCGCTCTAACTTTTCTAATTCACAGTCGCGACTAGTTACATTCCGCTTCGAAATAATTGCTTTCTCTTGTTTCTTGATCAAAACAGGGAATTCTTTTGTTGGAATTATTCCTACGGCCAGAAAAGGAAATAAAAGGATGGCCTTCTTCCTTCTTGCAAAATTCATTACTTGCCGTCTGCACGAAAGGTCAAGCTGAGAAATTCAAGAGGCTGCTTCGAAAATTCGACATTTGAGATGCAAAGCAACAAAGGGCATAGAATGCGTCCCATAAAATTGAGTGTATACCCTTTGATATTGTTTTTCCAATTCTGTCACTTTTTTGCAGTGAATTTTCCACATGGGCAGAATCAATTTCTCCGTCTGAGAAATACAGTTTGCAAAGCGAGAAAATATGCTTTTAGACTGAATTGAAATAAGCTGCATGGTCTTTGGTACGCAGCTTTCCCAGTATGAATTTCAAATCCTAAAGTTTTCGGTCACAAATCTTAAATTTGAGTTTTTTAATGGCATAAGAACAATTTTGCTGGTCCAGACTGGGAAACTTTGCTCCTTACAGAAAAATTTTGGGTTAAATGGAAAACGGCTCTGCAGATAAATGTCCAAATTTTATATTAGAAGTTCACTTTTTTCAGGTGGATGTAGGCATGAAAAAAAAAATGTTATCAGTCAATTTCTGCGTAAAGTAGCGGTGAAAATGCAATTTTTATCGTTTTGGCTTTAGAAAAAATACAATGCATATTGATAAGACCATCTTCACACAAATCTGAATCGAATCTAAATGTATAAAACTAAAAGCATGGAAACGCGGGGCTTCTACTTAAACATTTTTGCTTTGGTTGAGAAAATTTGAGGTTATTTTTGGTTATTAACTGTTTCGTTTGAATAGTAAATTATTTTATTGTCAAAGGCCGTGTTGAAAGCCCATTTGTATTTGGTGGAAAATTCACTATGCCCGCGTTATTAATCCTCATAGTCCTGCGGGTAATGCTAATGAACTCCGGCAATAATAAGGGGCCTTGTTTAAATGTATAGAGCTGCGTGTGTAATTACCCGTCGGTCTCCATTAGCAGCACCGAGTTATTCCAACATTACATCATTTGTGTGCTCTTGTACATAGACAGACAGCCCGACGCAAAAGACGAGTCTCTCTGTGCTCAGAGGGAGGAGATGGAACAATAAAGGGCACCACGACCCAATCGAATACCTTTTGAGCGAAACAAAAGCGAGATGAAAGCATCTCAAATTACTTGGTGGCCCCGATCGCGACCTTCTACAAGTAGCTCTTCTTCTTCTCAACCCAATTTTGCTTTTTACTGCCCCCGCTAATATTTACAACCCGAGGGTTGCGCGATAATTGGCACCGTAAAAAGAAGTTAACGCCGGTCAGACGCGTTTCGACTTTTAATCGCGACGCAGAAGCTTTTGTGTAACACGAGCCGCCGCTTTGCATGCGAGGAGCGAAATTAAACAGCGCGGTGGGAATCGCGGCAGGTGTGACCGGTGAGACCGAGTTAACTCAAAACTAGTTTGCTCAGATGCAACAATACACGTTCGCTTCAAATTAATGAGCTCAAGTAGCGCGACGACGAGACTAAAAAGGGCTTTCCTGAAACTCTTCCACCCAGACAAAATTAAGCTGTTTCTCTATTCAAGATTTCACAATGAAAACACTAAAATTTTCTATTTAATTTGGAAAGAGATGAAAAGTGATGAAAGAAATAAATTAATCTGATAGCCGAAAAAATTGTTTTTAAATTCTTCAGTTCAGCCTTTTTGGGTTGTATTTTCTGAAAACACAAGAAAGTTTGTGACAATTGTATTTGAAAAATTGGAGTCTATTGATTAGAAAATTAGGATTTGTTTTGCTTTTTGTACGAAGTTAACTTTATTTTACAATGCAAATACAAAATTATAGCATACACATAAAAATGTCAATGCATTGAAAAAAATTTAAACCCACAATTTTAGTGTAAAAATCCTGCAGCAAAAACTATAGTCTTTTTTGGTCAATCAGCTCTGACAACGTCAGTTCTGCGGTAGGCTCACGTTCGTCAGGCCCAAATCAAACACGCGGCTGCATTGAATGCACGGGCTGGGTTAATCAAATGCGTGGCAGCGCGATGGTTGCGGCAGTCGGATGGCGCACCACGGTGCATACCATCCGAGTCATAAATATTTATCAACTGGTAATAGGATGAATATCAAATTCGACCGCCGCGCCAGCACCGAGCTGCAAAACATATTTCCGTCTTTCAACCGAAAATAAATCCCTGACAGCTGGCAGGAATCTTAATTTGTTTCAAGTCTGCAGAAAAGTAATTGCCTTTTGCCGTAGAATAGTAATCAACAGAAAGATGGTGCTTCCAAGTTGGTTGTTTTTTACTGATGATTTTTTTTTAACTTGAGATTTATTTTATTCAAAGGTTGGCAAAATAAACTCACAATAAGGAATTTTTCATTATGGAAGCGCAAAAAGTTTCACCATTTTTGTTGAATTTTCTTGGAATTACACAGAGGATAGCACCTAAGAACTTGGCTTTCTCCGAATTTTAACAAATGTCCCCAGGAGATGCAGAGAAATCTGTTTGATGTGCTGCACGTATCACGCATAAAGTTGGCCAACCGAGTTTCCTCCTCTTGCGTTCCAAATGCGTTCCACCAGCAACAGGAACTCAAAAGGGCGAGCACTCACAAGAGGGAATTAGCATACGGAGAGGGTGAGCCACTTTAAAAATGGCCATGCACATCATGTGAGCGAGGCTGGATTGAAAAACAAGGACCGCGTTTTAGAGCGTCAAAAAACTCGGCGCTTGATGGCTCCGGTCGGCGCACCAACTTACTCCGTCATGCGTGCGGCCGTAGAGATAACGTCGGCGCACATCTGCACTTTCTGACTCGGAATTTACGACTTTCGTCATACGCGCACGCAGATATTAATCGACTCAAACTTTGGCAAAAGTCTTGGGCCGGCGTCGAGTTGAGCACCTGCCACAAAACTCCTTTGTTGGGTGAATTATTTATCGCGATGTCAAAACGAAAGTCTCTCTCTCACACGTCGGTCAGCCAGCGACCATGCATTATTCATGAAAAGCCGCCCCGTAATCACCAAGAAATTACCGGTGCGCGTTTTGGAAAAAATAAAACTGCAGGAAAAAGTGGCCAAAATAATGGAGGCTTTCAACGTGACACTCTAACAATGAATTGTTCACTTTTGATTTATTGCGAAAATTCGCCTATAATTTAAAAAAAAAAAAAAAATCGTAACGCCTCTCACCTTTCAACTGTATGTTCAAAATCACCTCTAATTTTGAATTTAATATTTTTTTCCACTTTTCTTTTCCTTCAAAAAATTCAACAGGACTTTAAATTTATATCTAACATTTGCTGCGTATTTGTGCTAGTTTTTTTTTACGTCGACAGGCATCATTGGGTGAGAGAGATGCAAATTTGCCCATGCAACGGGCCACCCTTTCCTCGTGCGGAACGAAGCGGCGCTTTCACGCCTGTCTGCAAGCAGGATTTTTCCCATAGCTTTTTGAGCTCGGTTGCACAACATGTGTCGAGTCAAAATTGCAGGATTAGAATAGGGGTAAGCCACGAAATTAGTTTTGCCCTTTCCGCGGGCTAACTGGCCTGTAGGAGAATTTTTAATCTTCTCAGCCGTGGTTGGAAGGATTTACCGGTGGCCCGTGGTGATATTACACGGAGAAAGAAAAGCCCCTTAAGGAAGAGCCTCATCGCTTATGAAAAAAGCTCCAAATCCTTCTGTAAAAAAAAAAATCAAATTTTCTGGCCCTTTTTATCATTGTCTGAAGATACGACTGATTTTCTTTGGTTTAAGTTTTAAAGTTTAACGAAGTCTGAAATATATCATTGTTCTAAATTTTTCCAACAAAATACATTATTTCCCTTTTTTTTAGAAGTTTTTAAAATCTTCGATGTTCAATTAAAGGTTTATCAAAGTGACTTATAATCAAGACTATGCGGACTTCCCCCAGCATCTGCCTTGATTAAAAGCTGATTAAAAATTAACGAGATCCAGAGATATGCAAATTAATTTATGCCAAAGTTTCCGTCATGCACGTGTGTGTTTGACGAATAATGCCGCTTTAATTAGCTGCCCGGGTGGGCTAGGGCGAATTAATCATCGCTCACTCTGGAGTGGAAGAAATTTGCGGCAGCCGACGGAAGCTGATCCCACACAATGCCCTCATCTGTTGAGCCTGTGGAGGCAAACAAATGACCGTAAAAAGTAATGTCTGTCGGCCGAAGAAGCCTCGCAAAAGTTCCGCAAAAGGCTGATACGCTGCCAATAGCAACGCAGCCATTCATTATTATCTCGCC